ATTTATTTTATTTTTTAAACACTTTCGTATATTAAAGTTATTTACAAAGACTTTTAAGGATTTTAAAAGGTTTTTAGGAGAACCACCTCCTCTTGGCATGCCATACGTATTTCACCTGTGCCTACTAAAATATTTTCTTGCTTAAACTTTGCCTACTTAAAACTTACCTTGCGTTAAATTACATATTCTTAAGGATCGATATAAGTTTTCCTAGTAGCATCCTTTGCTTAGAATTTTGATTGACTAGACACTATATTCTAAAACTTTTACAATCTAACAACCCATTTGCTTACTTAAATTCTATTGATTAGGATTATTTCTATTTAAAGTTTTTTGTTTGCTTAAATCCTTTTGTTTGAGATGATTTCTATTTCAGATATTTTCTTGCTTAAATCTATTGATGAGTGTAAAAAATGTTATATTTTATATGTTAAATTACTAGCAAAACCATTTTGATTTAGTTTTGTTTGTGCAAAAAATGAAGGAAGTGTGCAAAAATTTCAAGTATGGTATAACATAGCGGCGTCGGACACCACACTGCCATGGCACCATCATTGATACTGCTAGAGTGCCCAATATGGACATGGAGACTCCAAGTCTCTGTTTAATAGTGCAACAGTGTCGGAGGAGTCAGGGCTATAAATCCCAATCTCTATCTACACAGCGTCGTGATGCCAATTTGCAGCACCATTAAGCCAAAGGGAGTGCCATTTAGATGCCATAGTGCTTAACCATCAATAGTGTTGCACCACTATAGTTGTAACAGTTCAGGACACACAGTGAGTCCACATTAGCAAGCACCGCAGTAGAGAAAATCTTTAAATGCTACAACGTTAGTTCATTTTATATGTGTCGTGATGCAAGTGTCTCAAGCACTACCGTGAAAAAATTTATTTTTTGTATTTTTTTATAAATAGTCCATTCATAATGTTAGTAAGAGAGTTCAGTTACTTAGTTAATTTCAGTCTTCATAGCGCTTCTCTGCAATTTTTTTATGAGTTATAATTAAGGGAATTTGGTGAGCACTAAATTTACATCAAAAGAGTGTTTGGTCAATGTTTGTGGAAGTAAATCTTTAAGGTTAAGGAGGAATGTAGAGGAGATCATTGAGCCCATCTGATGATATCTTTTCTTTTATAATTTCTTTCTTTTGTGCAATTAATGAAAATGAGTTTGCTTCACTTGTTCTTCATTTCTGGTTAAATTCTCTAGGTTTGAATTGATGGTGTAAATGGAATATGAAGTACTAATAAATTCTTTTAATTAATTATTTAAAGGTATTTTCAATATATTAGGCCTTTATTTAATGCATATAATGGCAATATGTGTGTTAATATAAGACGTAATATGAAGCCTAGGAATAAGAAAGCAAGCACAGCCATGTATATCGGAATGGTATGATGCAAGCATAGGCATAGTGCTTGACATATATCAAATTTATAGAGATGCTTTACTTACTGTTCTAAGATTTTTGTAGAATGACAAACTATGAGAATTTAGAGTAGTATTAAGGTTGGAAGGGTTTAATCAGTCATTTAACTCTTCACGCTTGACTGAGCGCTTGGTGATGTATATGCTCTAAATTGCATCAATATAAAGGAGAATCATTAAGAAATATATTATATTTACATTCCATCAATCGAAAATATTTTATCCAAATAATACTTCTTTTAAACTTTTATTGATTTTAAACTAAGTGATTAAATCTCCACCAAAATTTATTTTTATTGGGTAGGATAATTATTGTAAATGTATAAATAGTACTAGTATTTGCAAGTAAACATTCTTCCTCATGGGATCGATACTCTACTCTATCACTATATTACTTAATTCAACACATATACTTACCTATATTAAGTGGGATTTTTATAATTTTTAAATCAAAGAAAACCTAAGCAATATTTAGGGATTAATAAAGCATAAAATATTTTCACAATTCCTTAGATTACTCTACTGCCCCCATCAAGTTTTTGGCACCATTGCTGGGAAAGATTTTATTTTATTTATAATTTTACTATATTTTTGAATCAATTATATAATTAATTATACTATATATTTTTATTCTTTTATTTTATTTTATTAGTTATATAATTGTGGTTGCACGATTAGAAGCCATATAAGGGAAACATTATTAGATTTTGATTTAGAAATTGAGAGAACCCTTACTAATTAGAACCACCAAAAATTTTTGAAAAAGGCTAACACTGTTCAAGACATCGATTATTCTAAACGTCTTAAGGATTTTACAAACTCTACAGTAGATGGAACTAATCAGAGCAAAAAATGACATGTCTTCCAAGCTAATAATTTTGAATTAAAACCTACAATCATTCAGATGGTACATAATTCTCGATTTTGGGGAACTCCTATTGATGATCCAAATATTTATTTAGTAAATTTCTTTAAAAAAAAAACCTTCAATATTTAAATACAATGGTGTTAGTGATGATTTCATTAGACTTAGATTATTCCAATTTTTGCTTAGAGACAAGGCAAAAAAGTTGTTAAATTCTTTACCCCATGCTCTATTATATATGGAATGAGTTAGCTCACAAATTTCTAGTATTTCCCACTCTCTAAGAATGTCAAACTTAGAAATGATATTACCACTTTTATTCAGTTAGAAAGAGAATATATTTAAGAGAGTTGGGAGAGATTAATGGAGATTCTTTGAATAAACTTAGCTCTACTTGGAAGGCAACCCAAACTTAGTTGAGGTGAGTTCTCCAGTTATCCAGTCTAGCTGAAAAGAACTCACCTCAACAACTTAGCTCAACTAATGATGCATAAATTTCAAGTAAGTTCAATAAGATAACTCACCTCAACATGCCTCTCGCAAAGGAGAAGTCGCCTTATGAGAATTTGGCTCATTTAGCATTGATCCTCAGCAAATGGAGAACTTGCCTTATGAGAATTTGGCTCATTCAGCCGTGATCCCTAGAAATCGCCTTCCATCATCCCTAAATGTCCCTTTCAATAATATAGGAGGCAAAAACCTACAAAGCATACGATCATGGCTCCATCAACAACATTCATCTCCACCTCATAATGACACCCGCCTAGAAGACTTGTTGCTCGACTCAAGGGACTCGCCATTTTTCCATTGCATTTGTCCTCACAGACTCGCCCACTAAATTCATCGTAGAGAACTCATTCAAAACAAACTCTTTAATTGACTCACTAAAGCACTCTCCTCGGATGAATCGCAAATTGCATAGGGCACTTGCTACAGTTACCTCATGCCATGTTTAAGATAGATCGCCACGTATACCTTTTAGCTAGTCCAAGTGTCTATATTAATTTGTGTTTATCAAATCTTATATTATTTCATTACATTACTAGGTATAACATTTTGTACAACACTTTTAAGATACCGAAATTCATATCACCTTTTTCCGGTTCAGATGCTCAAACTAAGCAAACTTGTTATTAAGATCAAATATCACCCGCAAATAATTTTTAAACTGCACAATAATCATATCTAATATTTAAGACAACCAATCTTTGATATTCACATTTTACAAATATTCAGATATTCATATGGCTGAATACTAAAATTATTCTCCTTCTTATTCCAACCTCAGCAATTTTCACCACTTCATCAAATACTAACTTCATTTATCTGAAACTAACTCTTCAAACTAATAGATGTCGTTTTAATCATTACTTATTGGCCATAGTTAAAACATTTACTGAAAAATTAGCTTTTATGTCATTTTTAATAAAATCACAGCTTTGAGAAGCTATCTTAGATGATCAATTGCTAGTGCAGCTTTATGAAAGAAATAAGTTCTCCAATAATGGAGCCAAGTTACCACAGCATTCAACCAAAAAAAGATGAGAAAGGGACTGAAACATTTTGAGAACTCCAACGAACGAAATGGGCAACTCTACCAAATTGAGGAAACAACACAGCTGAAACTGTAAACGCTTTAGCCCTCTCCATTAGTTAGTAGGAGAGACTTAAGTTTTCTATACCTCACATGGGAGGGGGCGGCGTTGAGTGCGCCAAATTTGAATCTCGGGATTGAAATTTTCATCTCAACTATTGAGCCATCATCTCATGCATAATTAACTCATATAATAAACAATAAACACATAGATGAGAAGAGAAAAGCAAAAGATTATCATATAAATTAAACAGGAAAAATGTTGTACTGGTGCTGATCCCACCCAAAATCATCACTTTAAAATATAGAAAAATCCACTTTAAAAGGTGTGCAAACCTCTAATATGCTCATGGGAAAATAATAATGAAGTGAGACGACAACCAAGGAAAAAATTATGAAAATATTTCATCTTAGAGCGCTATAATAATAAGTTAATAAGAGGCTAGAAATTTCTTGGAACTCAGATTTGCTGTAAAAGCTAAAAAAGAGTGACAGCTTGTAAGGAATATTATTCTAAAAATAAGTACAATAGCTATGAAATTTAATTGTATGCTTGATTTGATCAAAGAAACAAGCAAACCTAAACTGCAATGTACTTGAAGTGCCACAAGGAAGAAACAACCAGGGATTACAGTTCAAGGCAAAAATATCTGTTCCAGTTATGGTATTGAATGAAGCAGCTGGGAATGAGACATGATAAAGTATATAAGTTTATACAAAACGAAATGGGGGAAAAACATTTTTAGCCCGATTAAGTATAAAGTTTTTTTTTCAGCTGCGAAAGCTTTAAGAAACCACAACAAGAACAACAACAATAAGGTGGATGGATATCTTAAAGCCCAGCAAAGAAGAAGCCGGCTGTTAGGAACCAATACCTAGCTAAAAAGAGAACCCAAAAATAAGGCATGGGAACAGAATTTACCATCATTATTGCATGAAGATGATGAAACGCAAAGCAACTGAAGAATGATGCAAGGAAGAAATCCTTCAAAAATGAGAGGGTTGAGAAGTTTGGACCTTATTCTTGCTCTTGGCAACCAAACATTAAATAAAGATGAACACCAAAAAAAAAAAAAAAAAAAAGAGTTCGTGGCAACCAACATCCCAACATCAAACAAAGAAACGAAAAAATGGCACTGCTTTACAGATTAAATAGAAAACCACAAAGCAGTGTTTTTTCCCCCACAGTGAACGAAATAACTCAGCGCCGTAAACTCATCTCTTGAATCCTAATATCCATCTTCGTTTCCTCACAGATTATAAGGTTGTTGCAGCGGCAGATGCAGCTATGGATGTTGCTGCTCCTGTTGCTTACGAATGGAATGCTTGTTGTTATGCATCCAAACCTTAAAAACTTGCCTGCTAACACCAACCTCAGTGCAAAAAGTTTCCATCTCCGCCTCATCCTGCCTCTGGATCCTCCACCCGATCCTCTCCGCAAAATTCATCATCCTTGCCTTCTGCTCCGAAGTGAATTTCGTCCTAAACCTCTTCTTGGACGACGAAGTCACATAAGGCATATGGCCGCCTCTGGCCACAGCCGTCATCGTGAGGCCAAGTTCCTCGCTAGAGGACTCAGTAGTCGTGCCGCCGCTGGTGTTTCCTAAGCCAACCATTCCGGCCGAAGGGCTTGACGAGAAGGTATGAATGTGCTTCTGATGCGGCGTCAGCTGGGGCGCAGGCAGAAGGAGAGGGATTCTTCCCCCGGCTGCGCCCCTGCTGCCGCTGGAGTTGTTGCTTCCGTTGTGGTGGTGGTGGCGGTAGAAAAGATTGTCGCTTTCGCCGCCCTCGCGTCGGTGGAAGCTTCGGTGGCAACCGCAGGCAGCGCATTTCATGATGTCGGCTAAACTGGGCATAAACTCGCCGCAGCCATCGAGTATGTTGCCGCCAAGGCTCGCCGCGTGGTTTTTGAGACACTCTCGGTACTTAACCGAAGAGGACTCGCCGGCGATCTCCGCCGTTCGGAAGTTCGATCCCTCTCCTTTTCCGCCTTCATTCGCGGGAAAAAGATCTTGCGAAGCATTTTGCACGCTGCCGGAGGTCTGGTCTGACCTAATGCCGTTCCGAACTCCTGCAACTCCACTGGTAGCAACGCTTCTTCCGGGGATGAGCGAAGATGAAGAAGGCAGAAGAGGCTTAGGAAAGGCCGAATCACGGATGGTAGGTGGATTATAGCTCACTGTCTCTTCGTCTTCTTCATCATCGTTTTGCCTTCTAAAATCCATCTGTTTATGTTTTCACGCTCGGAGTTCTCTCTTACCGTTTCAAACCTACTACTGATTACCTCAAAACTTTGCTCTCCTTATTCATCCGAAAACAACCAAAGGTAGAAGTTTGAGCTGGATTTTATTAGCTTTTGCAGTGACGAACATCGACTCCCATCTCTCTGATCGGCATGAATGATGAAGCAACCGAGTGGGTGAAGAAGAATGAAAAAAGATCCGAGAAGATCGATGTGAGAGGGCAAATGAGTGATTTCGTTTTTAAATTTTACCGATGATAATTTCTAGCTGCTTGGCCACGAGCTCAGAAAGACATGTTCCGGATTAAGCTTGCTGTGGATTAGACTTTGAGAGAGAGACCCACAATCCCACATGATGGAGAGGGTGAAAAGAAGAGAAAGAAGACGGAAAGGAGACTTGACATGGAAGTGCAGCACTAAAGGGAGCATATAGGAGTGAGTGCATTAAGTTTTGGTTTCCTACCAGCCATCTAAAGGTAGGGGAACTAAAGAAGATTGAGGAGATGGGTTGGACTAATATTGAGGTGGGAAAGAAAGAGTCGGAAGATATGAACGAGAAGAGAAGTGAGGGGGTAAAGGGAGGTGATCGTAAGAAGGGTTCAGTGACTTCAGTCCTTAACAACCGACAGCGTCATGTTTCACCTCTCACACGCCCTGCAAACGGGCCCGGCGTAATTATTGTACTGGTCTTTTTCTCTTGCCATTATTTCTAGGGCTTGGCCACTTGTGGGTACGAATTTAGGTCGAAATTTCTTGTGCTTTCATATTTCTTTCTCAATTATTATTGTTGCGAGTTAAAATGTACACCATGAAAGAGTTAGAAAATTTTGGTCTAAGAATTATACGAGTATCTAGCACATAAGTATAATAAAAATGTAACATCATAATTTTATGAGGAACCTCTAGAAAAAAGAAAAACCATGGTGTCACGTCCAATTGAAAGGATTATATTATTGTTCGTTTAGATTACAAGTGACTAGCTCGTCCCTGAAATTGGACAAATTATTGCATCCGGTTGCCAGACACGGAGATAGGTCCGGATATTAATAAAATATTATTTTAAATTTAGCGTGTCAAAAGCACAAGTAAAGCGCAGGTAAAGCGCAGGTAAAGTGCAGGTCAAAGCGTAGTCAAAAGCGCAGGTAAAGCTCAGTCAAAGCGTAACTAAAGCGCAAGTCAAAAGCGTAGGTAACGTGGCAAATTTTTATTGGACGTCTGAACCTATTCTCCAAGTCCAGTGACCTGATGCAATAATTTGCCCTGAAATTGAGGACGGTCATATTACAATAATCAACTCCCGGGTTCAGGGGCGGAGCCAGAAATTTTTTTATGTGGGGGCACAAATAATTATCAATACTAAAAAAAACTTCAACTTTTTTTATATGAGCTTGGGACCGGCATTGCTGGTTTAATTTTTTTTTGTTAGACTTGTTATATAAAAAGATAAATTATATAATAAAAAAACTCACAATCAATATCACTTCATATTTTTCCTGCATTATACTTAAAGTTTTTCTCTTCGAGTCTTCATACTTTGAAATTGTTGAACAATCACTTTATTGTCAATATTATTAAAAATATAGTTTCTCAATATAAGTAATTAAACAATCATTCATCCAAGAGCCTATCATATGGTTACACAAACAATTTTTTACAATTTTCATAACAGAGAATACTCGTTCAACTGTTGTTATAGCAATTGATAATATCGAAGCAAGCTTTTAATTTATTAAACCATCTTCTTTAAAATTTATGACAAAGAGATTAGAGGTTTTGTAAATATAATACACTCATCGGAGAATGACCACACAAATTAAAAATTAATTGTTAATTATTTTTTATCATTAAAGAGAGTTTTTCTGTCAAAAAAAAAAAAAAACCTATAGATCTTTTCACACATATTTTTGGCTAGAGAGAGCAAAAGAAATAAAAAAATAATTTCTTATGTCAAAGAAATTAATTCCTAGAGAGAGAGCAATAATTAATTTTTAACAATATTTTTGACTTTTTCTATAAAATGTGATTATAGTTATATAGATCCTTTTTCATATATCAAGAGTGAGAAAAGAAATTAACATAATTTGCATAAAGCCATAAACTCTTACGAGGGGAGAGAGAGAGAGATAGAGAGAGAGAGTAAATGACTCCGATTGCTGTTACGGATGAGAAAACTCCTCCGCGGAAACTTATTGGAGCTGAGCGCAGAGGCGAAAAGTTTTTTGCGTCGACGACTATTAAATTTTTAATTTAGCATTATTTATAAAAAAGTAGCCAAAAATATATATATAAAATTTTAATTAGTTGGGGCACATACCCCCAATGCCCCCGCCGTGCATCCGCCACTGCCCGCGTTGAAATTGAGTTACAAACAGATATTGAAAATCCAACGACGTTTGGTGGTCGGATGAAAATCCAACATCAATTGGATGTCGGACATAACTCTGGCGTCAGTCGGCGGCCGAGCAGAACTCCGACATCAATTAGCGATCAGGCCAAACTCAGGTGTCGGTCAGTTGAGGGGAAGAAGTCCGGTGATGCTCGAGGAGTGTTGGCAAGAATGCTCGCTACCTTTTCTTCTCTTCTTGCTTGGGTCCCATCACATGGGAAATGAGATATCTATTTATAGTTTTGTGAGAGTGGCATGACCAGTAAATAGGAGGAAGATGAAGGGTAAATTGGGAGTGGTTTGAATGGAAGGTTGATGTTGAATACCTTGATCATGGACCATTTATTGGGCATTTGAATGTCATAATGATATTGGAATTCGGTGACATTGAGCTCATTGGATTCGCCTCGTTGAGTTGCTCGATTCGAATATAAGCACTTACATTTGGTTACTGTTTGATAATCCAAATTATGGATTGAACCTTCCAAATGGGGTTCAGGTCTTCGATCTCGACAAATTTGGGCTCGGGTTGAGTCAAATTTGGTGTCATTTGGTTTGTATTTTTGAGACATTTAGTTCGACCATAAGTTAGTTGAAATTGGAGTTCAAAAGATCTCTGAATTAATTTTTGAAGCTTGTAACTTGATTTTTCCTTGAGATTTGTGTTCGATAAAGATAATTTTTTGAAAAAATATCAATTGCCCCTATTTTTGGACATCAAATCTTCAGTAGTCCGTAAATATGTGTCTCAATTTTTGGAGTATTTTTTGTGCGATTTGAAGCTAAAAAATAATTCGATATTGTATGTAGAGGTCCCGAATGACTTCAAAAGTGCCAAAATTAAGTTCATAATGTCAAAAAGTAGTCTCTATGATCATAAAAACATCATATTTGGCTTGTTCAGGCCAAGAATTGGGCCAAGAAAGAGTTGGGATAGATCAGCCACCTCACTGCTATCGCTGCCGATGACTCTCCGCTACCCACTACGAGTTGACCGCTGCCTGCATGCCGCTGCTCGCCTGCCCGCAAGCTAGCAAGCTAGTACCCACTACGCACACTTGTCCGTATTGCTACTGGCGCCTAATCGAGCTAAGTATCGACTACCCGCGATGTTCGGGTCGCGTTGCTTGGTAGCCAGTCGCAGGTTCATTGTAGCCTCTAGTGGCTATCTAAATTTTCCTTTTTATAAATTTTTCAGAATATATATATATATATATATATTGAAAAATAATTAAAACTTCAAAAATTCTAAAAAAAATAAGTAAAAATTTTGAAAATTTTAAAAGATTCTAGAATCCTCCTTCCCTATCATTTTTAAAATATCCCCCTTAATTTTAAATCACTTCCCCCTTTTTATTCTATAAATACCTCCTTGTGGCAAGGAGAAAAATACACATTTTCTCCTTCTAATTTTCTAACCTTTAAGGCATTCCCCTATTTTTATTAGGTGACATCCCCTATTTAAGTTTAGTGTCCCTCTCCTTGTGTAGAGTTTAGAATTTTTGTATCATTTACTTTTCTTTCTCGCCCATTTTTCTTCTTACTCTAGAGGCATTTCACTATTTTTTGTAGGTGGCATATCCTACTAGAATTTAGTGCACCTCTTTAGTGTAGAAGTTCAAATGGGTGACCTCACCTCCATCAAAATTCCCCCAATCAAAGAAGATCGACCTGCTGTTCGATCTGAGGGTCTAAAAAAGACTCAAAAAGTGTCCAACACTTAATGATGTCGTATCCACCATAACCAATGATTTCTTGATTATTTTCAGGAAGAAATTATTATGTTATGAAAGTGCCTAAAAAATATGCTAGTGCATGTTCCCCTCTTCTAGGATTTTTGAGAGTGTAAGAGTTCAATTGGTGAGCAGTGTTGTCTCCAGATTGCTTATCTTGGATGGGTAGATTTTTTGATGATACGCAGGGTCGTATCTCTTTTAGTTCCAAGTGGCTGGATATTCACGCCTGAGATCCATCAAAGAGCTTGGTTAGTTATTTCTTTTTTGTGTAAAATGACTGAGTTCTTTAGGAAAAATGGGGAAAAAAATGAAGGATTACTTATTTCCCTATATGTTGGAGCAAAGGATTGATTGAAGATACCCAATCTCCCTGATGTTAACACCCTCCATTATAAGGTACGATATTTGATTAGATATATAGATGAAGAATATTTTTTTCAAGGTTGGCCATCTACTCATGTAGGGAGATCACATGTTCATATGATAAAGAAGTTGGCCAAACTCATAGAGGTAGTTATTTAACCTTCAAATGCTCCTACTAAATGATCATGGAATGAGAGTGATCTGCAAGCATCCAAGAAGAAAAGAGTGGAGGAGATTTTGGAAACCACTAGCAAAGGCCACCATATCTCTCCTTCCAAGTCACATATTCTAGAAGATGTTTTGAAACATCAATGTGTTGGCCATCAATGGGCTGAGAAGTTGGTGAGTTCATATTTTATTTTTTTGTTTTATCTTTTAATATTCTCATAAGGATATGCCCCTTACAAAGCTTTTCTTATTTTTTTAGTTAGTACAACGCATGTGTCATGAAATTGAAATAACCAAGACCTAAAATGATTAGAATAATGATATTTTGAAGGTCAAGTATCTCCAGGGATAGTACAAAAAGAAGTATGATAGTAAGAACAAGGAGATGAAGGCTGTGTTGGAGAAGCTAGTTGGTACATGGTAGAATTAGCTACTATGGCAACTTGAGCCTCTTTATAGAATCAATAGATAGACCATTTATATATTGATTTAGTTGATGCATAGGCAGTAATCAACCAGCATGTTAAAGATTAGCAGGTCCTTGAGGAGAAGATATGTAGCTATTGAAAGTAAAAAAACAAGAGGCTCAACAGTTTGTTATTTAAGAAGGAAGCTATGTCCACGTCAGAACAGACACCTTCTAGAGTTATAGATGAATTCAAGAATTATATTGCCTTTAAGATGAT